AACACATACTGGAAGTGGAAAAATTTTCATCCAAGAATTCAAGATGTTGGTGTCACAAGCAAATCCAACACTAGTTGAGAGAGGATTTCTTTGCAAAACTACAAGTCCTTTACAAGAAGAACAAGATTCCTGCCAACACCATCAATGTTGTCATGGTTGATGCTCTCGCCGCTATCAATCAAGTTAAAGGATTTAATGAAATTTTGAATCCAATCAAGATTAATGTTGTAGTTTCGGTTTGCACCACCAAGATTGAGACCCGTAGTAGTATTTCATCACAACAAACATATACCAAAATGAGGTTGGTTATATTGTGGGAGAATGATTTGTCCAAGATGATTTTGATTGATATTAAAGGAATTGGATTTGTCAAGATTGTTTATGATGATGTTCTTCAAGAAATGAATGAAGTTTTACACCAAGTAGAAGACTCGCAAAACTTTTCTATTGGACACAAAGTTAAACCAAAGTTGGAGAATGATCTGTTAGCGTGACATTTCTCTTAGCGCGATGTTTTACACCTTAAAGAATTCCTCTACTCTTAATAGCCATCCTAATGGGTCTCTCTCCTTAAATGTGGGTAATTTCACACTTTTCATCCAATGTCTATACACTTCTTTTCCTTCCTTGTTGGATATGCTATCATGTACATGTCTTTCTTCCTTCTTTCCTTCATCATTAATAAAATTTTCACCTTCTTCTGAAAATTTCTCGATTTTTTAGATGTCATAACATTTCTCTGGTCTCTTACAAACTATCTTTCATGATGGCCACATCCATCTTTACCACCACCATCAATTTCTCTTTATCATTAGTCCATCTCTCCAAAGCATTCATTATATTTTCTCTAATTTCCCTTTTCATGGATTTGGCAGGTCAGACCAAATTGTTAAGCACCTAGAAATAGTGATGAAAGAACAAGATGGAAAAAGGAAAAAAAGACCAAAGTCTAACATTATATCATTCACTTTTCACACAATAAAGCCAAAGCTTCCAAAGGAAAATTGCTTTCCTTTCTCACAAGGCTCTCCTAGTCATAAACATTAACTCTCAAAAACTCCCATGGCATCCCATCCCCCAAATATATAAACTTTCTTAGAAAGTCACCCTATAGCAACTAATCGTTTTACTACTTTTATCTTTAAATTTCTTTCAAACCCTCTTTTTACTTCGATGCCTAACGGTTGCAAAGTTAATCAACTACGGCAAGCTTATGCTTTGCTCAAAAGGTGGAGAGAAATCCCATGTATTCAATGTTAAGTCAAGAACATTTAATGCATCTAGTAGCTTCAAGCATACTCAGATACAAGAAGAAGTAAAAGTAAAAAAAGCATGCTTATAACAACTTTGGAGAATTTGCAACAAATCTTTTCTTATTAAACTTTACATAAAGAAGATGTTTTTAAAGAAGAAAGGTTAACGAAAGTCTTACAACAAAAGCATGCACAAGATATTTAGCTATCATTAACCTTTATGATGGCATACACCCTAACCATGGTCAAGCATCTACAAGAAGGATTGAAGTCATCTATGAAGATGGTCTAAACTTTACCTTTTGGACCACCTTTGGAGTCATCATGGAGCATAGCTTGGAGTAGTATAGGTTTCTTTAAGGCATGTATTTTGGCCAAGTAGTATAAGTTTCTTTAGGCTATGTATTTCGGCTAAGTAGGTAGGTTTGTTTAAGACTTGTATTAAGACCTAATTAGTATAGAATTTTCCTTAAGCTAGACATCTAAACATTGTAGAAAGTATATACCATGTGTCATGCTTCCATTGGAAAGGATTTAGCTTTAGTAGTAGCATCATGACACTCTAAGAATAGAGATGATTATGCTTTATGAGTGGCCACATGTCTTCCCCTTATTAGAGAGGATTTGTGGACACTTGTCCACTCCTTACCAGACCTCATATTTTGCCAATGAGTAAGGTGATCATGCTTTAGGATTTTTAGGAGACACTTGTCCTCTCATGTATTCATATTTGATTTTGAGTAAAGTTATATTGCCCATTTTTTGTCATATTACTCATCTTAAGATCAAGACTAGAGCAACTCATGAAATCCCTCCAATCACCTTCCTCTTAGAGTTGGCCTAAACTTTCTTAGAGCCTTCAAACACCACACCACCATTATTTAACCATCATATGGACGTGAGCTTCTAGCCTTACAAACACCATAGCTTCCACATTTCTAGCTCCTATCCTTGATGATCCACCACATTTTTACACCATATATTTTAAAGGAACCATCTCCATCGCATCTTTCTAGCTTTGAACCAAAAAGGAACCATCTCCATCGCATCTTTCTAGCTTTGAACCAAAGAGTGATTGCATTTGAAACAATATTCAATAATTTCACAATGAGTGGCTAGATTCCAAACTATACTCAGTTTTAGCTAAGAGTGATTGTTTCCAAAGTATGCTTAGGGTTTTAGCCTGGATGCATTCCAAATAATACTTAGGCTTATAACCAATACAGGTTGCATGTCCAAATAATACTCAGATTATTTTAGTCATAAATGAGCAAGGTCCAAACAATTTTCACTTGTATCTTTGCAACGTTAATATATAATATGAAACTTGATCAATTGAAAGAATTAGATGTAGTCTATTTTTATAAACAAACCACTATAAAAGTACCAAAAATAAATCATTACTCTCCTAAACTTTCCATGTTATTAAAATTGAATTAATTAAAGAATGAAAAACTTTATAAGCTAAGTTGTCAAAGATATTTGATAAATCTTTTCAGTTCAAACTCTTGCATTAACTAAGCTTCACCATTGTGAAAATTTTCAAAAGTTTTAACACGTAATCCAACCCTTTTTTTTATATATGACTTATTTTTCACATCACGTTTATAATTACATAACTTGAATGAGAACTAGAGGATCTCATGAAATACTAACCTTTGTAAGATCATTCTAACAAATGTCCACCAAAAGATTGAAAAATAGAAGAAACTCTAATATACCTTTACTAGCAGCAACAATAACAATAATAACAATTCCTTCTCTCCCAGTGCCACAACAACAACAATGACAATAACCACTACCACAATTCAACAACAATAATAATCATAACAACAACAACAATAACAATCAAAACACAATAACCATTACCAGAATAACAACAATAACAACAATAACAACAACCACAACAAGAATGATAACAACAACAACCACAATCACAACAACTATATTGACAACCAAAATCACAAATAAACAACAATGATGACCCAATAACAAAAACAATCACACACAACCACAACAACAATAATCACAACCTCAATCACAATAACAACAATCACAATCACAACAATAAAAATGACGACAAGAATAACAACTACAACAACTAGAACAATAACAACAAATTCAATTAAGATTGATTGAAATGACAATAATTTTATGATTTAATTGATCTAAACAAGAGACCTATTCAATTCAATGCAATATAAAACATTTTAAAATTACAAGTAGGAAAAGTAATTAAGAAAATTAAATGAAATTAAAAAATTTTACACAAAAAAGGTCACTCTAGCTTATTGAAAATAAAATAAAAATACTTGAATTAGAAATGAGAAATCAAAATTATGATACAAAAAGTGGATGACAGATAGCAATAGCTGTGGGAAAACTAAATGAGTTCTATATTATATTCCAAAACATTTTATCATTTTCGTAAATGCATAATAAAATAGTCTGGAGCTTAGACTTTGGAAAAATAGAACCAACCAACTTGGGTAACCAATGGTAAGAGGAACAAACTATAAGTATCAATCGATTTGAAATTTAAAATCTATAACAATAAGAAACAAATACTCCTATAGGAGAATCAAAGTTTACTCTGATTCTATGACTACTGTAGACTTCCTTTCTAAAGGATGTGTTCGTGGTCATTCTTGTTATGCTTTGACTGTAGCTATTCACAATATGGCTTGGAGAGATGTATGTAGCCCTTCTGCTACATTCTTTAGGTGTTAACAATTCTGAGCCTCTGATGTTCAGAAAATAAAATATGCCTATCTGAGGTACAAGCTTTGGTTTGAATAATACCAAATTCGATCCTCGTAATCAAGATTTCAAGTTCAATCGCTTGAACATAAAGAAAATAGTTAGAAGAAAAGATCTCCCTAAAGATATCAACTAAATTCTCTCACCAAAATAAATCATTAACAAAACCTCTAAATACTTCGTACTAATTACATATGTAAAAATAAAAGAAAAAAAAACTGCTAATGATAAAAACATGTGCTTTAGTTAGACTATTTTATCTTTTCTTACTACTCTTCCAACTATAAAAACTGCTAATGATAAAAACATACCTCCACCAACACCAGAGTCAGTAATTAGTAAACACTATCCTTCTCTCAAAAGAAAAGGAGCAGAGGCAATTACCAAGATCAAGAACTTCCATCTGGCAATGAGGAAGAAGTATAAAGAACGAGGCACGATTGGAAACACTGGAAACAATTCCAATTCAAGCCTGGTTTAGCAGCACTAAAGATTGGCCATTCAAGCCCCCAAGAAGGAACCCTGAAATTTTACAAATTGTCATACATGATAAAACAAACAAACGTATTTGTTCTGTAAATTCAATGTTGCATCACTGATAATCACTAAGGACAATATACAGATCATTGCAATAACCATTTCTCAACACAAAAATATTAAGGATCAACCATATAGAACCCTTGCAAGTTATATCCATGTATGCGAACTGTAACCAAGGAAGACAATGAAACAAATAGATTACACATGTAGCCACCAATTAGTCAAGGCTTGATTGATTCAAATTTTGTTGCATACATTTTGACCCCTTAGAAGGAGAATCAAATAATAACTTTACATCTAAGATAAGACAGCATTTATCTTTTCTTTCTAAGACAGAATTTGTCTTTTCTTTCTTCAAATACATGAATAATGTCATCACTCCTTGAATGGTGACATATTTCCTCAACAATCAACTGCACCACTACTGTCTTAACAATTTAGAATTAGTTCAGATAAGAATAATAGCTTTCCTTCGGAAAAGGGACCATAATCATCATTCCAGCAACTTACCTCTACATGTTACAGTCTTAAAAAATAGCCAAATCAAATGATCCCAATTTGGCTTCCTTGTTTTCTGCATAACAAATACACAAGCAATTTAAGACATTCCTAACTTCATTTTCAATCAAGAATTTTGACTTCCCTGTCTAAAACCAACCATAGCAGAAGTGAACAAAAAATTAAATTAGAATAAATCAAAATCGAAAAGAAAATCAAATCTCTAAGTCCTAGCTTGCTGAATGCTAACGGCACTACCACTTTGCATTTACCCCATTCCCATTTGCTTCTGCCTCCTCATCTCTACTATCTTCCTATGGGAATTAGAATGCAAATCACTACGAAAAGTTGGGCTACTGGCAGGACGGTATTCAGGCACAAGCCGACCAGACTTAAACCTAACCCCACATGCATTACAAAGTGTTTTTGGCCCAAGGGGACCTGCCCGCCACTGTGGAGTTTTTTCAGCTCCACAGTGCTGACATTGCCTCCCAATTGGTGAGATTTTCATCCCTTCTTCTGCCTTGGAAATTTCATTACTTGGTTGTCTCCACCAGACTTGCTGACCAGAGTTTTCATCAGCAATGCCAGGGCGACACCTACTGCGTCTCTTGCTTCGTGCACGAACTGGGACCTTAAGGTGATCACAACTGTTTAGGAGAGAAATACTGTTACTGCTGTTATTACTGTTGCTACTGCCTGTGCTGTCCTCAAGTACTGGGCTTGTTACTGGGGTTGATTTTTTGATCTTGGCTGTATCAGGTTGAATACATGATAGGTCAACAAATGTTTCAACAGAAGGAAATGCATCTTTGTTGGATAGCCATTCAAGCTCCTCTTCGACAAACTCCTGGAACATGAAAATGGGGGCATGTTTCAAGTCAAGACAGGTATCAGACCAATGCAATTAATCATAGATAAGTAGTAACCTATGGATCAAGAAAATAATGTCCACACAGTTTTTTTTTCTTATAAACTGAAGAACATATGTGATACAGAACCACACCACAAAAACAAACAACAGAAGAGAATAGGTGAATGAAATATAAGACAGCTCTTAGACTTATCTGCAAAAGAAAATAGAGCAAGATAAATCAATCCTATTGCCCAGAGCTAAGCTCCTTTAGAGTAACCGACAAGGTTCTCTATTCAACAGCAAAGCAATCCCCCTTCCCCTTCTCTCCACACCTGATACTAATAACAGAAAAGTATTCCTCTTTTCTCTCTCCTCTAAGTAACCACTCTTCTAATCAGACCACATCATTACCCCAGCTCTTCTTTCTCACATACCCTTCCCCATCTTGAATTGTGCTTCACTTCATGGGCTAGAGGCTCATTGGGCCCATTTATTCTTTGGACCCCATCAATACCCTCCTTTTGGTACTATCTTGTCCTCAAGACTCAAGCTGGGAAATTGACTTCTAAGAGAAATCTCATCCTCCCAAGTTGCCTCCTTTGTTGTTTTTCCTTTCCAATGAACCAACCATTGGTTAACTCGTTCCCCCCTCTTCATAATACTTCTTGAACCTAATATGGATTCAGGCTTCGTGACTTCCACATTTTCATCTTCTATACCTGTTGGTAGTTAGTCTACTGTTTTATAATCACCCGCTGCCTTCTTAAGCAAGGAAACATGGAACATCAGTTGTATTCTTGAAGAGGGTGGTAATTTCAAACAATAAGCAACTACTCCAATCTTCTCTAGGATCTCAAAAGGACCGTAGTACCTTGCACTTAGTTTGGAGCTGATTTTACTCATCATAGAGTGTTGACATTGTTGTTTAAGCCTAAGGAAAACCATATCACCAACCTCAAAAACTCCTCTCTATATGATGTTTATTGGCCTGCTCCCTCATTCTGTCTTGTGCCCTCGATAGATGCTTCTTTAATTGTCGCAAAGCTTCATCTCTATCCATTAGCTCTCTTTTAACAACTTCGGGTCTTACGTCCCCTTGTGCAACTGGTACTATTTTAGGGGGTTCTATGGACTCATGAAATGTGGTGTTGAACCAAAATGCTGCCCATGGGAGCCATGTAACCCACTCCTTGGGTTGGTCCGTAATAAAACATCGCAAATAAGTTTCAAGACATATATTAGTCATTTTGTTAGTCCATCTGATTGAGGATACCTTATACTCATCTTCAAGGTCCCTTTCATTTTGAAAAACTCCTTCCAAAATGGGCTCATGATCAATGGATCTCTATCACTCACCACTGAATTAGGAATGCAATGGAGCCTCACTGTTTCTTTTACAATCGTTCTAGCAGTGTACAGGTGCTTTAGTGGCAGAAAATGGCAGTATTTAGTCAATTGGTCCACAATCACAAGTCTTCCCAAACTGTCTCTGGAATTGGGAGTGGCTGCAGTAGTCCTCCATGAGATGCAGAGATGTATTTCTGCCTTTGACAAGTATCATAGGCTTGGACAAATTTGAGGACATTATTTTAGCTGCAACTCACCTGTATGTGCAATAAAAACTGAGTGCCTTGCTTGTGGAGAGGCATGAAACTCTTCTAATAGCCTTGGGATCCAATGGGAATTCTCGGCAACCACCAATCTTCCCTTGTATAGCAAAAATCCACACTTATACGTGAACCCAGTGCTAGCCTTATCATTGTTTCCTTGTTGCAGCTCCTTTATCAATTTCCTCCCTTTATTATCTTCATGCACTTCTGCCACTAAATCTTTGAAGTCCAGCAAAACGGGTATATATCATACTCTTCAGTTCTGGTTCCTCAACTTTTCTCGACAAAGCACAGCACCTTTATTCTTATTTCCAGGTTTGCACACTATCTCGAAATAAAACCCAAAAGCTTTGTCACCCAGCTTATTTGAATTCTGTCTGTAATTCTCTGTTGCAGAAATTGTTTAAGACTCTTCTAGTCTGAGTAAACCTTGAATTTCCTTCCCTATTAAATAGTACCTCCAATGTTGAATGACTAGAGCAACAACCATTAACTCCTTCTCATATGCTGACTAAGATACGTTTCTAGGGCTCAAGGCTTTGCTAAAATACACCACAGCTCTTCTATCTTGCATTAAAATTGCCCTAATTCTAGCTCCTGATGCGTCACACTCCAACTCAAATTCTTTTTTGAATAGAAGGCATAATACCGGTGTTGTAGTGATTTTTCTTTTTATCTCTTCAAATGCCTCCTGCACTTCATCACTCCATCCAAAACTGTCCATTTTTGTCAAAACTGTCCTCTAACTAACCACTCTTCTAATTAGACCACGTCATTATCCTGGGTCTTCTTTCTCACATATACCCTTCCCCATCTTGAATTGTACTTCTCTTCATGGGCTAGAGGCTCATTGGGCCCATTTAATAATTGGTCCCCATCAATATGGCTCCACAATATGAAAACCTTAGAACCATAGCAATCATTACAAGTACGTGAAGAGACAGGATAAACTATTTATTTACCAATCTAGAATTTCCAATACAATTATGCCAATAGAAATAAGTGAAAATCTCTCAGCACAATTTTCACTAACTGATTTAAAATATCAGAAACCCCAAATCAGATAAATAGCACTACTAATAATCACCACTATAAGTGCCCAACAGAACATTCTAAATCCAGCAACAAAAGCTGCACCCTAATAAAACAAGTTGAAATCCAATTAGAAACCTTTTATACTCACTAAAAGATATCCCATGTACCTTCTGCAATTCACTCACCCAAGCCCCCGGTTCAAATTCCAACTTCAGCTGATTCCAATCAAACCATATATTCATAAATTGTTTCTCTTTTTGCATAACAGAAGCACTGACAAGTTAAAACTCAAAACTCAAAAACCAATATAATCTATTTTTTCATGGGCCATAAACATTCCTAAAGAGATCAAAATGGGAATATCAAACTTACAGAATATGAATGGTTCGGATCATCTGGTACCAATGAGTTAAACAATGATGGGTTGCCACATTTTGAGTTAAGTGAAGGACAGGATTTCCTGTGTTTGTCTTCGTCATCATCTTCCTCGCCTATGTCCAACGAAAAATCCAAGAGGTCATCCACAGAACCAATGGTCTCCATCTCTGGAAAGAACAACATATTTAAGCCTAAGAGTGCATTTATAGAGATATGAATAAAGGAACAAGAAAAATGTGTAAACAAAATAGATAAAATAGTGAAGATAAGAGTATTCCATACAATACAAGTATGCAATATAAGAAATTTCAAATTTCTCAATGTTTAAATGACAGCATTAAAGCCACAAAATAAATAAATTCAGACTATACAATCCTAAGATGTCTTGTTTACACATATAACATAGTTGTGAATAAGAGATGAGCCAGTAAGAGACAACATTTTATCATAAACGCTCTCCAAATTAGATGATATCTATTCTTTAGTTAATCTAAATTTAAAGACCTCATTGCAAAATAAACTTTTGATCATGGAGCTCCCTTTCTAGGAATTTTGGTGAGCATTGAGACTATTGCCCTACCTTGGACAAAATTTTGATGGCTTGTTGGAAAAGGTTAAAGGTTTTAAAAAAGTCTGCGACCATCATTTCGGCCACAATGTCAAGGATTTTAGTTGGTTTGTGTAACCGCAATAGTGGTCGTATCAGTCACATTTATCCACAATTTCCTGCAATATCAAGAACTACAATTGCAATTGAAATTTAAAACCTCCCTAAAAATAAGGCAACTATATTTTGCAGAAGTTTGCATTGCACACCTTCCGGTACAGGACAAGAGGCTCTTTTATGTAATGATAAGAAGTAGACTTTAAACCTAATTGAACCTTACAAAACCGGCTTGTAAAGTAAAGTTTGAACTCACTTATATATATTCTAAATTGACTTTATCTCTAGTCAATATAAGACTTATAACAAATCCCCTCGTGCCAAAATATATATATATATATCTCGTGCATGGGACTAGACATTAAGATCCGATATCTAGTGGAACAATATGTCAAACATTGTTAGGATAGACTCTAAATCAGGCTCTAATATCATATTAAGAAGTGAGTTTTAAGCCTAACTCAACCCTACAATATAAACTTATAAGGTAAGGTTTGTACCTATTTTTATATTTTAAATTGGTCTTCTCTCTTCTGGTCGATGTAAAACATCCACTATGTAACATGTTTTAGTCTGGTTCTAGATCATTTCCACATATGTTCTCGAAAGCTTTTACTTGTGCTTTCTTCTTATGAAGTATGGACATTGTCTGGTTAAGGTTGCACCTGGACCCAGTACTAATTTTTGCTAACTAGCTTTCGTCAATGATTTTAGTACAACTAGTGAGGCTAAGCTTTTATGACAGTCTGCAAGCTCTGCTACTACATGCTGCATTTGGTGGAGTGAAACACCTGTATTTTGAAGGAAAATATCACTACCTCTGCAATTGGTTCTGAATTAAGAATGAACTATTGGCTTCAATTAGGTGTAAAGCATATTCTCTATTGAATAGTGCATTTTTTATGTCATTGTTCTGGGGATTGTGCATATTTTTTACATTTCTTTGTTCCAGAATAAACAGAACTATGACAAATTATATATATATATATATATATATATATATAT